AAATACCATTATGTGAAAGCCTCAGTTGTACAAAGCCATGAAGTGTGATGAAGAACAATATCAATGGGCCAACCATATGGAAGATTATGATTTGGAACATAAAAGAAGCCTATGTTAAAGAGCTTTTAAAATAAGTATAAATGCATTATATTTTTGTGAAACTACAAAATGGATAAATGTAATGATGGTGATATGATCTGGTTATTAATCAAGGTAGAGTTAAAGGTAAACAAATATGTAGCACTAAAGATGAAAGGGAGTTTTTTGATTGGTGTATGAAACAGTGCATGGATATGAGAAACTGAAAAAGCAGATAATTAGAAAAATCTAATTTATCTGCTAAAAACTATTTTGATCCTATCAAGATAATGTGGATATAATTTTGTCTATAGCCTTAGGCCACCAAAGTCAATTAATGCTAAATTGGGAAGGATCATTTAGTGGCATGAATGTCCAATCATAGCATTTATTTTATTATACAACATAACAACAAATCAAAATACTGTGCATGTGTTCAGAAAATTGTTACTTTTAAAATAATATTTCTTTTAAAAATATTCTACCATATCAATATATTTATTCAACCTATATTAGAAGTACCACTTACTTATGGTAAATAAATCCTTATTTGACTGACCAATCTAATTTAATCTTTCTCAAATCTAGTTCTTCTTTTTCCCCATCAATATAAGATTGTAAAACTGAAGTAAAACTATTGTCATGGCTCCACTTCAACTCTATGATGAACTGGACTGAACGTATTATTGAAATGTCTAACTTTTTTTTAGAAAAAAAGAGCTAAACTCAGACTGATCTTCAGTATATTCAACATAACTCGTGCCTGAGAAATCATCAAACCTTTAGAGCACATCAGATCAATCCTATTAATTATCTTACAGTAGCATTCAATGAAAGCATACTTGTTTAGATGCAATTTCTACTATGTTCACTGAATTTGCCCTTGTATAATAAAACAGCATTGCATCTTTATTCTTATATCTAGATTTATGATGTAAAACAGGGGTGTCAAAAGTTGATTTCATTGAGGATCACATCAGGTTTGACTTCAATGGACCAAGTTGGGTGTAGCCAGCTTGATGTTAGGAATAATAGGAATAATTGGGGTGCCTGTGGCCAAGCACTCTGCTAGTGAAAATGGGCTCCCGAGCTGTGTTTTTGCATGGGAGAGCCTTCTGCAATCTTCTGCCAGCAAAAACAGAGCTTGTGGGGAGGGGTGCACGCAGCCCTTACAAGCTGCGTTTTTGGCCGCAACAGCCTCCTGCAGACCTCTGCCAGTGAAAACAGACCCCCCCCCCCCCGAGCTCCATTTCTGCTGGCAGAGGGCTGCAGGAGGCTGTTGTGGCCAAAAATGGAGCTCATGAGGGCTGCATACAACCCTTCTGAGCTCTGTTTTTGCTAGTAGAGGCACTGCGGACCGGACCTTCAGTGTTTCCAGGATGGCCCTATGGGCCAGATCTAAGCACTCCGCAGGCCGGATCTGGTCCCTGAGCCTTGAGTTTGACACCCCTGTTGTAAAATATTTGTGATATTTTTATTTTGTTTTCAGTTTTGAAATATGTATCTTCCCATTTTTTCCAATGTATATATTGCCCAGTAACTTTTTCTCTTTATATATTACAACCTTTTTATAAATTCTGCATTGCTATAATCATTGCAGGTCTTTATTTGCTTCTTAAATCAAAGATTAGCCCATCTCTTTTGTTTTTCTGTTTCCTAATCAAATCTGAAAGCCATCTTCTTTTTACAATCTTTGGTAGGCAATAGAATAGGAAAAATTGATGTTAAGTAAGTTAAATAATGTTAAAGCTTCCACTTTTCATGCTAGGAAGCCAAACCAAGGAAGTCAGCATGGTCCCACACTAGGAAGTTAAAGCATAACATGATTTCACATTCAATATGAAACTTAAGTTATAAACATATGTGTATTATTCTTGAAGCTATATAGCAAAGAAGCATTTGTAATGTTTATGTGTGAAAATGTTCCAAACCCTAGAATCCAACATGTATCTGTTTGACATTACTGTACAGGTAAATAAACATGAAAAGACATCAATAAATCTGTGAGTTATCACATAGATACATAAAAAAAGTTTAAAAACTGTTATTTCTGGAGAATAGCTTTAGAACAAGGAAGCTGTGGAACTTAGAAGTCTTATCAGGAAATAGAAGTAACTTCTCTATAGCAAAACTCTTTCTTAATCTGTGGAGAACTCTGTTATTTTTCAAATATACTTTGGAAATGATATGCAGTATAAAAAGTTAGATCAATTGAATTAGTGGAACAACTTGCCTCCAGAAGTTGTGAATGCTCCAATGCTGGAAGTTTTAAAAAAGATGTTGGATAACCATTTGTTTGAAGTGGTGTAGGGTTTCCTGCCTAAGCAAGGGGTTGGACTAAAAGACCTCCCTTCCAACTGTTATTCTATTCTAAGTGATCATACTTTTTTCTGACTTGAGCTATCTGTTTCAAAGCTACTTCTTCTTAAAGAAAAGTAACCATGCTTTGAATGTGTGTACAATATGTAATATGTACATTCCCATTAACATAATCTGATTTTCAGGCATAAATTTTGTGATAGATTTTTTTTGAGCAAGTAGTTGTACAGAGCAATAATTGCACTATTTCTACACGAAGTCTTTATCCTAATTTCAAAAGCAAGTTTGAACTCCTTAATTCCACAAAATTTGGTATGTTCAAAAAGATTGCCTGATCTATTTCTTGATTAACTCAGATGAATTTGAAACTGCAGTAAAGCTGATCTTGGAAATACTGCAGCTCTGCAGAGCTTCCAGCAGGTCAGTTTCACAATTGCAACAACTCCATCTTTCAACTCTTTCAAGGGGACCAGTTGCTTGATGGCTTTTCAGTTCTTTCTCACAGGAACCATTTGAAGGAAGCTGTACATAACCAACTATTATTTATTAATTAAAGATATATGCTTATCCATTTACCAAGACTATTTAACACTTGGGAATTCCCAATCGTTTGTTTCCATCTTGGCAATTGTAATAAGCTCTATATCTTAGATAAAATTCAAACTGAGATCTATGACAATGGTTCATCTAGCTAATAGAAAATGGGTTAAAAATACCACATACTTATGAACTATTGACAATTGATAGAAAGGAACAATCTGGCTCTAATTTGTTTAGAACGAGGATGATTAATTTTGACTATGAAGTTTTGTAGAACTGGGTCCAAAGTATATTAGCATGCTTTAAGAAAATTAATAAGGGTACCCGCTAATTCACCTAGACATTTATCAGACCACTTACAAAGAAGGGCAGTTTATAGTAAGGAGGTAGTTAACATCTACGCAGGTGGCAGCAGCAATCTCATTCCTTAGCAGTTGAGGTGCTTGCCATTTGAACAGATGCTGTCTTTGTCCTGTTCTACGGTGTGGCACTAACGAATACGAGGGAACCTAAAAGCAACCTAACAAAATGGTAACCGCAGATCTTTGTGTATGCGCGCACACCCGGACCTCGAAAATCTGAAAACGACTAGAATGCTGAAAGGCTGGTTCCATTCTCCTTAAACCTTGGGAAAAAGCCATTCCGATGTAAAAGTTGCTTCTTTGAGGACACTGCTTTGAAAAATTCATCATCCTTTCAGAATGTTTAAATGTTATGAATACACTCGTCCTTCCTAGTTAGACTGGGAAATTAATGAGATTCGTTTTGCAGGTAAATTTTAAATGGCGATGTGTTCAGTTATCGCAAGAGTCGTCCGAGCTAACTTTTAAAAAAAGAATTCATGTTAAAAAAACCAGCTCGCCCCCGACTATGCCACTAGATTCCTCTCCCCACTTGTCATATCCCTCGTGTACTGCAGCCAGTTTGCTGCCGATACTGCATGCACTACTAGGTGTCCATTCTAATCTGTTGGCAGGAAGGCGTGACACAAAGTTAAAAAAAAACACCTCTCGGGCGTTTTGCTCGGTGAAGGTGAATAAAAGCACGAATACGTGCTATGGAGAAATGGCGAAGGACAAGAATTAGGAGAACGCTAAGGAAGTGGGGAGGGGCATCAAACTCGGACAAGACCCTGTATAAAACCTCAAACGGACATTTCTCTCCCCTCTCCCCGCCCGCAATCTACTAAGATTGGGCAGACGCGCCTGGTTTCTCAAACCAAAACGGTGCGCAAGCGCAGGACGCTTCCTTGGGTAAAATGCTTTTGGATGTAGGAAGGGGATCACCCAGTCTTGATATTTCCCCATTTAACTCTTTTTCTCTCCCCTGATCTGGCTCTGTCGCTGTTGGAATCCTATTAATTTAACCGATATGTATAATTATTTGGAAGATCGTTTTTTTATTTGATTGCGTTACTGATGGGAGGGTTGAGTTCTTATTGCTTCGTTTTATTCCCTAGAAACCAGCATGCTTGCGTCTCCCTTCTACCACCGTATCCTCCAAATTGCCGCCTCTGATCAAACCAGCCTGTGGATCGAGTCTTTTGCCCATCCTTGTCTTTTGTCTCTCAGCCGTTCCTCTTTTTTGCTGTCTTCGGACCAAGCCATTCGGGGATTGTAGCCCCTGCAAGCTGCAGGCCAGAAAAGCCGAGTGTGTTTGTGTGTGTGTGTGTGTAGAACCTATTAGCTATGTAGTGCGAGCAGGGAACACCGCACGTTGAATTAAAAGCGGTGGCAGCGACAGCCTGGAACGTAGTGAGAGTGACTTTGCGCCTCCGAAAGACGCTCTGAGGCCATCTGAAAAGCGGACTTCTCCGGCGGTTGCTGTTGCGTGTGGCGGCGGCTTGGCTGCCTTCGGGGACTGCTGCTCTCTTTTCGGTTAGCTTTCAGTGTCTAGAACCGCTCCTGCTCGCCCCCCCCCCCCCCCCACCGCTTTCCCACGTTCTCAAAAAAGCAGCCGCCGCCGCCCCCCTCCCGCCCCTCTTTCCCCGGTTTCTTTCCAGAGCTGAGCGACGGGGGCGACAGTGGCTGAAGCAGCGGAGGAGCTTTCCCTCTGCGGGGTTTATGAATGGCCCTGACATGGAGGAAATGCCGTTTCAGAAAGTCAAGAAGAGCAAGAAGACGAGAAAGAAGAAATGTTGTCGCCGCCGCCGCTGCTGTTGCTGTTGCTGCTGCTCCTCCACACCCGGCCCGCCGTTGGCAGCGGCGCCACTGCCAACTCCGTCGGCTGCAGGCAGTAGTAGCAGCACCTCCGGAGCTGCGGCCGTGGTAGTGAGAACTGTCGGAGAGGGTCCCCCGGTGCCCTTCCTAGACGGCGTCGCCTGTGAGGATCAGTTCGACTGCAAGGAACTGGAGTCGCTCTTCCAGAATTACAATCTGAAGCTGGAGCAGACATCCACACTCAAAGCGCTGGCAGTGCTCATCGCACTGACTGCCAGCTTGGCGCTTCTGGAGCTGCTTTCGGGCCCCAACCTGACTATTTCCAAGGGCTCCCATCCGGTACACTGTATCATCTTCCTCTCCCTCTTCATCGTCACCAATGTTAAGTACCTGCAAGTCACACAGCTACAGCAGATAGTGAAGCTCACCTTGCTTTTCAGCTTTACCTTCGCCTTCCTCTGCTGCCCTTTCTCGGTGGGCTCCTATGGCATGGAGACACCCAGCGCCCCCGAGCAGGGTATGTGGCAGCTCATGCTGGTCATCTTTGTCTCCTACTCCCTCTTGCCCGTCCGCACTCTCCTGGCCATCGTCTTCGGTTTGGTAGTGACCGTCTCCCATCTCATAGTCACTGCCACTTCAGTCAGTGTCAAGAGGCAGCCCCTCTGGAAGACGGTGAGTAGGCTTCCTCTAAACAGTTCCTCACCTGATTTTTCAGTCTTTAAGAGGGGGAAGGGGGAAAATGCTAAAAAATGTTCACGGTACAGTGTCTTTTTAGGAACTGATAAGAATTAGGGCAAACAAGCTGAAACTGTTCCTTAAAAATTATAACAATGTACGATTTTTAAAATAAGTTGATTTCTGGTATTCATTTTCAAGATTCTCCTGAATGCAAACAGACTTTGCAATCATACTGTTCTATTATACAAATAGCAAATTTATTTTTAAAAAATCGTCTGACAAATTAAATGTTTTGAAAATCTCTAACCAAAAGGCTTGGAATTGCAACATGATTTGCAGTTTATGATGTGAAGTGTATGTTTTTGGATATTGGATCCATGTGAAATTGCTTCTCACAGGTTAGAGCATAATATCTGTTGAGGACATCTGGTAGAAGTAAAGAGTATGGTTGATATTGGTATTGGCATGAGCTCCTCTTAAATCACAGATTAATAGTATCAATTCACATGTCTCAGTAAGTATATATGCTATTTGTTTTCTGAGAACATGATATGATACAGTGTTGAATTGGTACTCTGAAGCATATCTTTCTCTGAATATATGTGCAACTATTATCATATGCCTAATTGGGGGATATTTTAAATGAGACAAAAGTGAATTTGGATAGGATATGATGGATGAATCATTATTGTTTCTTCTTTTAATTGTGCCTGATTCTCAGAAATAGTATGAGCTGCAATTTTATGGGCAAGATTTTTCAGAAGTGGTTTGCCATTGCCTCCTTCCTAAGGCTGAGAAAGAATGACAGGCTCAAGGTCATCCAGTTTTGTATTTAAGAATTAGAATTAATGCTCTCCAAGATTCTACTCTGATGCCTTAACCACTACACCAAACTGTCTCTATATTTTACATGTTCATAAAATAAGCCGGCCAGCTAGAATTTGGGATAACTCTACTTGAAAAAAAATAATTTGATTAATATTAAGCAACCTTTCAGAATGTTTTGAGACTATTGTAAAATACAGGAGAGTATAACCTTGTATTTTGTGATAAACTCTACTTCAATATATCCAGAGATTCATGATCTTCCAATTTCTAGCCTGATGGCTTACCCCCAAAGGTTACAAGAAAGTTTGAATTAGGCTATCTATGGGCTGACAATGAGGAATTAATAATGAAGGAAATTATTTCTTTCTATGAAAATGTTAGAAGGGCAAACCACTAATTTTATTACTTTTCACACACACACACAATATATATGTGTGTGTGTGTGTGTGTATATAACTGGGGAAAGGGATTTTGTGTGTGTGCATGCATGTATTGTGGATAAATGGATGCATATGTACCATCTCTTTCCCCAGTTTTCTATTTTCTTCCCCTTCTTGTTCCTTACCCAATGAGAAAATCCTTCCAAACCACTGATTTTATTACTATTTAAATATCATATATATATGATGTGTGTGTGTATGTATATATGTATATATGTGTGTGTCTGTGTGTGTGTGTGTATCATACACACATACACACACACATGCACACATACACACACAATACACACACTATTCCTTTCCCCAGTTTTCTTTATCCACCTGCCTGAAATCTTGGTGTTTCTACTGGATCCTTCTTAATGGCAGCAGATTTTTCTCTCACTATCTATGTATAATATCATTCTGTTTAACTTCTTAAGAGGCTTTCTTTCCTGAATTATTTGAACAAAAAGCTGCTCTGCACCATCTTTAGGAATGTGCTATTTCCCCTCCCCCTGCCTCAGAAAAAGCTATTTATAGTTCTTCAGGGCTTCCTCAGGTGTCTACAGATTTACACACTTGTACTATGAATAAAAGAAAAGAATTAGTGATGGTTTACAGACTTGAGTTTGCTGGACCAACATGTTAACAAGGCTAGTTTCCATATATAATTCTGTTTTGAATCTAAGTTGAGAGAGCTTAAAGGAAGATGGGAATCTATTTACTGTTGTGTTTGACAGTGTACAGATTGTTTTTTTTAAGAGAGAATAGTTATTTGGTTTAGGAGAATCTATTTTGATCAGAGAATAATACAAAAGGAAACAATCTTTTATTGTGCTTTCTGAGGTTGTTTTCCTTGACTGAATAGATTGTCGTGACACACAAAAAGAAACATTCTCTGCCACAACCATGAACACAGCCCACAAATGTAGGCATTAAATCATGCCTATGGTTTGTAGCATGTTTTTGTCTGCATTTTTAGACATAAAGTTGACGTGTGTGTATGTACCTCAAGGAAATATATGTAGCCAGACAATTTATACAGTATTACTCTTTGTCCACTGCTTTTGAATTGATGGACAAAATAAAGTGTATGTTTTCAGGTGGGAGGAAGGAGGGAGAGAGAGAGAGAGAGGGAGATAAGCTGAGTATTATGATTTGTCCAGATAATCTGGTAGTCTATTTTTAAGTTCATGATTTACAGATTCAACGAAGAAGGGAAAATATGTGGACAATTTAAGCTAAAATTTAAGCTATAATTAAGAACTTTCAAATAAATCACTAGTTTTCAAAGCAATTATACTATAAAATATAACTAGACATTTGTTAAACATTTCATTTCAAAAGCGAATGAAGATGTTTGATAGCAGCTAATGTCTTTGAAAAACAGATAGAATAAAGTTTTTCTTTGTTTGAATATCATAAAAAGATACCTATTTCTCTTTCCAGTACTTCCAGCTAGTATTATTTTGTTATGTAACTAATTTACAACTGTTTTGCCTTGTTTCTCCTCTCATCTATTTATTTAGGAAGTAAATACATTTCCCTTATAATAGACCACAATTTTGATTTAATTATATTTATTCATAAGAAACTCTCTGGAGAAATTGAATTCACTTCTTAGTAAAAAGATTTAAGATTCCTCCAAATCTAAGTCACATTTAGTACACCTCTGCTAAAATTTTGCATTATATATGGTATGAATTCTTTTGCTGGATTTTCAGTCCACTAGACATTTTTATGTGTCTTTTATATCAGTTTCAACTGGAAACACTGGAAAGAGAAATAGTTATGGAAACTCTAAGCTAAAGTAATTTAGGGACAGTCTCAGACTTCTTTTTGACTGGAGGCACTGAATAATTTGGACCCAGTGGATCCAAAACTTGAGGCAAAGTCATCTTATCTTGGGACATTCCAATCAAATCACCTTCATCGGGACATTTATTGTAGCATTTCCTACAGGTGGAACTGATCCACAAAAACAGGTGAATGTAACACTCCCACTCCTTTTCCTCCAGTATTGTTTCTTTCCAACATAATTTTTGGTTGGTAGCTCTGTGGTTAGATCCTGGTTTCAGTAGGATTTAGAACACCTAATGGATATAGAATTTCCATATAAGAATTATTTCCATTCAAATATACATGGAAATAACCTGGTTTAAATCAATTTAGCTTGTTCATGGCAAACATGTTTTATACACAGCTTCAGCATCTTAACTGAGGTTAATGTTTCATATATATATATTGTTTAGCTCCTTCAGAAAGAGAACTTTCATTTTTATTTGTTTATTCACTTATTTATTTATCCAACTTATGCCACTTTTCTTGTGGTGCAGCTGCTGCTCCTCCTCATCCTGGAATGTTAAATTATTTTGGATAACATTAGGTAGATTAGCTTTAACTAGCTAAAGGAGACTTGATGCTTTGATGTATATAACATATATGGGGCCAGTATGACCATATACTGTGGCAGATGGAATGTTGTTACCTTTGCACCAAAGTGGTATCTATTTATCTACTTGCATTTGTATGCTTTTGAACCAGAGGTGGTATTAGCAGAAATTTTCAGTAGTTCAGAGAACCGGCAAATACCACCTCTGACTGGCCCCTTCCCCATCTATTCTCTGCCTCCCAAGTCCCAGCTGATTGACTGGGTCTTCTTTTGTGGTCTTGCACAGGAGAACGGAGCTGGAAAGCAGGTTAGTGGGGTGGGGAGGGAATGGGCGTTTTGCAGTAATCTTCTCCCAGGAGTGGAGTTGGAATGGAGATTTTGTAGTATCCTTCCCTTGCCATGCCCACCAAGCCATGCCCAGTAGTAAATTTTTTTGATCCCACCACTGTTTTGAACTGTTTGGTTGGCAGGAGCAGAGGCAAAGCGGTAGCTTATCCATCATAGAATACTTGGTCTCCAATAGCCAATGTCCAACTGCAGGTGAAATGAAATAAAATGAAATGGTATGTATGTGTGTGTATGTATGTATGTATGTATGTATGTATGTATGTATGTATTTACATACTTACTAGATTTGCTAAGGCTAATTCCTATAAGACTGGGTGAATTACAACATATCCATTAAATTAGAAAGCAACTGCCCAGACTATGTCTGGTTTATGGAAGATTAGCATTGTTTTGCATTATTTAAATAATTTGAGTTATATTTTTATAACAAAGTATCATATTTGTATTAAATAACCCATGCTATCCAGTGGGAAAATAAAGAATATTTTATGTTATTTAATCCTCAGGTATTTTTATGGAAGTTAAGAAGTAGAATGGAAGAATTGTTTAAATAAAACAGAGCAATTTGTGTACATTTTTCCCCTTATACCTTTTGCAAATGGGAGTGGATATTTGAAAGGGACATTTAATAATCAAGCACGGCATCACAATTTGCATCCAAATAGTCATCCCTGACGCAGTTGAATTCATCCCTTATATATGTTATCAGTGCATTAATAGTGCCTCCAGGATTTTAAGGGCTCCCAGACAAAACATCTCTGTGAGTCCCTTAATTTGAAAAACCAGCAGAATGGTTCCTTTTATTTTTTGAAAAAGTTTTTTATTTTTATAATAGACAAAACAACAAACAAAACTTTCTTTCAGTTGTATAATGTGTTGGTTCGGCACATATCTTGTGTGCGCAATATCTATATTCCTTTTCTCTTAACTTTACATTCATATTATATTCTAGTCAACATTTTGTATTATATCATTATTATGCTATCATTGTTAATTTCAATTTCAGG